GAGAGAGAGAGAGAGAGAGAGAGAAAATGTCTGCTGGTGGGGCTGTCGACGTAGCATCGAGTAATGACGTGGAGAACGGAATATCCTGTAGCGAGCCAAGAGATGGCGAATGAACTGTCGGATTGATGCCGTATACGAGATCAATAAGAATGTAATGTGTGAAAACAATATAAGAAAGCCTGACGTATTACATTATTGGGCCATGTTACTGAATTCTACTTCACTGCTGATTTATAAGTGTTATAATTCATCTGTTATTTTTATCATCTGCACAAATTGAAGGTAACTGCAGTCATTACATGGTTATTTGACAAGTATAATAATACATTACGTGACAATTTGTATACTGAAGTTCTGTAATGTAGGGTTCGCTACGTTCGTCTTTAACTTTGGGCGGATGTAAGTTTTACGTAGCTTTTGAAATTGTTCCATCTACAATTTGTAAAAAATATTAGAATTACATGTCGAGAGAATTTATAAGAGGACGTCATGATTTTACGTGTAATATAATTGTATCGTGCGTAAAGATCTTGCTCCTTATCTTTTATCAATTGAAGTTATATGTTATAAAGCTTGAATTATTTTATATGTCATGAAGTTTGAAAGAACTCTGAGAAAATTTCGTTTAAACTTTTAACTTATTGTTTTATGCAGAATTAGTTTTATTGTATCAGCTTTATTTTTCTTTTCTAAATGAGAAAAAGCAATGAATACAAACTTATATGTATATAAAGTACATTTTGCCGGTGCAATTTTCTAAAAGTCAGAATGTGTCACGTATCGTTTATTACGTATTTCCTTCGTCACATAATGGATGTTACTCACGAAGTATACATGATTCATAATCCTTGACTCAATGAGAACAGATCATGACGTTCCTTTGCGCGTAGAATGCGTGACGGAATCGGCACGGCGTGCCTCGGAAGTCACGCGTTTTCCTATAAATCGCCGAATGAGACCGAACTATAAGTAAATGTATTGTTAACATCGAAGCATTACTAGTTAAAAGCGATAACGCCTTTAACACATACAAGCAGTGTCAGTATATTCGACAAACGACACGTGTTCAAAATCATAAACCAATATCAAGCGAATTTTTAATACAGTTGGACTTCAAACTGTCATTGTTATGAATTTAACATATCCTAAGCAGACGCTGGCAAATTTTACCCAACTTTTCAGCAATCATTAAATGTATGACAGCACTCTCGTGCGATCTTGTTAAAATATTTGAACTTTAAATTAATGTAATTTAAAGTTCTCGTTAATTCATTGTAGAGTAGGAATAGGTGCGAAGGGAGATATTAAAAAGTAGGACAAGTGTTTCGTTAAATTAATATATTTTATTTATTATATTTTTAAAACTTACAAACATTATTGGTGATACATACATATATACAATTATACATATCTATACATATGCATATGTATATTAAATTATAGTTGTGTAAATGTACAGAACATCGTTTTATATATATATGTTTATTCTCTGTGTGCATGTACTCGTATGATGTCATTCTACATAACATGCATACTTGTAAATTTACTCACTCACTACTGTATAAATCAGACTCCAATGACGCATTCTATAGGAATCCGATAAATCTACTACGGTCTCTAGTATTCGATACAAGGATTATGTGAGAGTATCTGCGAGGAATAAACTTTCGATAAATCAGGTTTAAAAGACAAAAGGAATGTATGCAGAACGATGTTTGTATAAGATCCTCGTGTTAAGTGTTAACATGTGGAACTTATAACTTATGGTAAAGAAAACACCGAGAAGCCGTCTGAAAAGGTTTTATTAAGATTACATATGGCAAGCGAGGCTTCCGTTTCCAATTCCTCTAAATTAAAATTCCGTCTCAACACTTTACCGATAAAAAGTGCATTCCCCAGCACACCTTGCACCTGCCTTATTCTCTAAATTATTTACTAAAATTTGTCTAGGTTCATCACCTATGCCACTTTGAGAGATTTCGTTTAGATTCCTTGTGCGAATCGTTTCCGTGCTATACAATTGTAGTACAGCGAAGGACGCTGAATGCTGCAATCATCCGTAACCATGAATAATATCCTGATAATGAATGTCTCACATTTTGCAGAATATGATACATCGTCTTAACAGTAAAATGTATATTTTCAACATACCGTATAAGGATTTATAAAAAGAAAAATTTAATATACAGTACTGAAAAGCCTTCGTGTCAAATACATCGTTTCATACACCTTCGTCAGAACAGATATTGAATTGACGATTCCGGGTTGTGCGTAGCAAATCATTTTACACACATTTTCAAATCATACACGTACGATCGTATCTTACTTATCATCTAGCTTTTGACTGTACAAGGTGTTGTGCGAAATGCAATCGTGATTGCAATATTGACGGACTTAAAGTAGGTTTTCCTGTGACAAAAATACAAAGTGATCTTGTAATCCTCAAATTTTATACGTTCGTAACTAAGCTCTTGTAAATTTTTTAATTCGTTCTTTTTAATTCTTTTTATTATTTTCCGGACGCAGTTAAAATATGAACAAATAGATTCAGCATCTTTTCAATTTAAAGAAAGGCAAGTTTAAGGCAGAAGAAATACTACGAATTTCCCAATTTTCAGATTAAAAAGCTTTGCTTCGTGCAGAAAAATTTTATTTTGCCTTTTGTATTAATTTTTTTCAGGTCAACTTATCCGATTGTGCATCGTCAGTAACCACCTTGTACAATCAAAACCGTTTATTATTAACGGTTCTATACAGTGCGTATCAGACATTCTAGGTCCCCATAAATCAATGATAATAAAGAGAACTGTGTGCAAGAAGAATACAAATATAATATATAATAAAATTAATTAATTTCACTATATAATCGGGATTTTACTAAATATCATTAACATTAAATGCGTAGACGTTGTCAATTATATATTCACGGGTAACTGTGATCTGTTATATAAGAGTAAAAATAAGAAAGAATAGGAAGAAAATTCGAGAAACGTATATTATGCTAATCGTGTGACGTTCTTGATATGTTTTATGTATCTAACTATTAAACATTTTTGCAGGCGCAATTAATACAATATATTTGCAATACCGGTAATTAAAATATCTCTAACGACAATGCCACTCGCAATAATACATAATGAAGATATCAATAATAGGTGTGTACAGAGAAGATTTGAGCGATAGTAACAGTAGATTAAGAGAGTGACTTAATAATAGTATCATGATCGCAGTAGTAGAAGTAGCGGCAATAGCGGTGACAATAGTAATGCTCTTTCAGCCAACAACAATAATAATTGTACGCGTTCCGATAATCGCACAATAAAAAATATAACAAACATGCATTTGACATAAATTTCTATATAAAACAAACGAGCTGCAAAAAGAGTATATAAATCTAATGGCCAAGACGCGACATAAAATCACTACACATTTTCTCCGATGGGCTCAATACACAAGTGTATATATTAATCACTTAATTATAAATACGCGCGTTCATGCAGCAATTATTTAGTTTCGGTACATGTCATGGAAAATTAAACTATCCCTACGTCGTACAGTAAAACGTCGATTATCCGAGAGTATAAATTAACGCGAGAATTATGAGTAACGATTATCCCAAAAGGAAAACATTAAATATAGATGTACATATTAAATACAAAGTATAAGGATAACAAAAAGAGTCCAGCGAAGAATCTTATAATATCATAAAGTAATTTAATATAAACTTAGAAATATATGTATAATTCCTTAAAAACATAAATTCTCTCTCTAACAACAAGATTATGTATAATTCCGTCGATAAATATAACATTGCTTTAAACCCTTCAGTACTGTCATAATCTCAAGCTTGATGTGAGTTACAACAAATATCTTTGTAATTAAAATATATTACAGTCTAGCGTCAAATGCGATTCCGATTTGATGCAAAATTAACGCGATTGCATTGATAAGCGAGCATGGATGATAAATTTTACGATGGGGTATGGTGCACGAGTACTGCAGGATTCAAAAATTGAAATAAACGTATGTACAAAACGTTTCAGATTCACTGCATTTACTTTTATCTACGGATTCTTTGACCGGTCGCCCAGGTCAGAGAATTTGCAATTGAGAGGAAACGCGCGTGAAACCTGAAATTATTTTCTCTCTTTCTCTCTCTCTCTCTCTATATATATATATATACTATATGCTAGCATTTGAAAACGCAGTAGTTGTGAGAGGCGGAGGATGCGTACTTTAATATTTAGATAATGCGTTCAGGGAAGCAGTATTATATTTGTCATTCTGACATCGGATATCTTAGTCTTTTGCTGGAAGAATATTTTCTTTCTTGTGCTTTCTCTCATTCAGATGGGATTATTCGCAGGAACGCTCTTATGAAAACATCTCTCTCTCACAAACACGCACTTGGGACAGTCGTCGTTCTACTGTATTTTTATACATAAGACTGGTGCTCGAATACGACAAATTCAACAATAATTGTATGCATCTTTTACAGAGTGGGACACGCCTAACTTTACCATCTGAAATATCCTCCATCTAACATGAGACAGAAAAAGCTGTATGTACACAAAATGTTTCATAAAAAGATCATACCAGCAAGCGTTAGCATGTTGTGGAAAATTGATTAATTTGTTTCCACACAAGATGTAATTCACCCGAATTTGACAAAGAGGAAAAGCGCAAAATAAATGTTTAATTCAGAGCAAAGACGTATGAAAAAACGTAGTGTATCAAGATACAAATTATCACAGACACATGCTGTTTCATGTACCAATGTGGTAAATGTGTTACGCACATCGTCAATCTCAGACTCATGATTAGCGTTATAATAAAATTCGAACGTCGTCTTGTGCACATATTGCGAAGCAATGATTCTTAAATGGCATTCCAGAGAAGACGTTGTTACTTAGTTCTACGCTATGCAAACATTTTCTAAAAATTGCGAAAATTTCGTATTTGTCAGTGTCGTCTTACATCTAAAATTGTTCTAAATTTGAAATTGTAGTAGAAAAGTAAAAAAGTAACACAAAGATACTATCGTATCATTATGAAAAAGTAAATTTAATCTAAAGTAGATTAGAAAAAGTAATTACTAAGATAAAAGAAATATAAAAGGTATTAATATAACATTCGTTCCTTCGTTCCTTATATATAAATTGCTTGAAATTGATTTCTCTTATTGTCCATATTTCTTTTCTATTTATATATACAAGCACTTTATTTGTCTGCTATAGTTTATAAAAGTTTATTGGAGCTTCGTAATGTGCCTCACTTAAATAAAGGTGATCACCGTCACGCGGAAGTATAAATAATAACTGACGTACGCGTGCATCTGAATTAGCGACATGTCTGAAGAATTGTGAAAGCGACGAGAGCAGTTTTGCAGACCAGGGAACTATCAGTCTCCTGTTAATTCATTGATACAAAGTACTTTTGGACAGAGATTCAGTACAAACTTTCTTCACATGCTCGACCACTTTAACAATGTATAAGTTTGACTGTATATTTTTTAGACACCCTGTATGATCCATAGAGAGACTAAGCATATCAACACTCGAGCAGATTTAAACAATTTAGACATTGTTTAATACAACGGAAAGCTCTAAGCTCCGTACTTGTCTGAAGCGACGTTTCACAAACACCACTACAAACTTTCTATTGTAGTGTGAAACATTTAAATTATTTAAATGTGTCCTAGTGTTGGCAAATATCTCCCTTATTACCCGTATCTATCAGTATCTGGTCAACATATGACATGGTCTGAGTTTGTATTCCTTAAATCACTAGACTCCCATTCAATTTTCTATTAAGTCACTTGTGAATTCGTCGAGAAACAGCTCTTCATTAATAGTATTCACATTTTGCTAAATATGTATACGATTTCAATTCTCAATTTTTGAGAATTATAACACAGATAAAAACACGATAATGAATGTACTACCAAATTATAACCGATATAACTATTATTACTACATCTAAAATAAAGTCTACATAATAAAAACTTAATAGTTATTGCTATGATTTCGAGAATGAGAGTCTAATAATATAACTATTATGAGGAAAGTTATTCATATCATGTCTCGCAGACTGCGGATAATGTAAGAAACGTTCTATGCAACATTCAGAAAAAAACATATCGTGGTGGGCATCAAGTCGATTTCTACAAATTCTCTGGAACTTTCTGTTTTAAAATAGCATGGAAAACTCCTTTTAATTTCAGTAAGAAGGAAAACCACTCGACATTTCTAGAAACAGAATCGAAGTGCAAACTTGACTGAATTTATAATTTCTAAAATCATATATCTGTTACTCCGTGTAGACGTGTAGAAGGAAAGAAAGCAGATGGTAAAGTCAGTGTCCTATTCTGTATAACAATAGCATAATTATGGCACGAAACTTATTCTTAAAAAAAAAAAGCTTTAAACAGGTAAGATCGATGCAATTTAAATACATGTTCAGGGAGCAATCTCTTCTGTAGTGTACTATTTTTTTCGAGACAAGTATCTCAGTGTCCTATAATTTTTCTCGAGTAATCCGCATTCAATTTTTTTTTGTATTCTCGGAACTTCTCTTTGTTATTAATCTATATCGCCCAAACGTACATCGCGCTTACAGTAAATACAAAAGACCTAAGAGAGGCACTCTTAGGTTTCCCCTACGGTGCAAACTTAGGTTTGCAGTGTATTTGTGATTTCTCGATGTACAGTTACCAAATCCTGTATGTAGCCAGCTAATCTGGCGTTCAGCGTATCCAAATTTTGTTTTTGAACTTTATTTGCACTCAACGCAAGTTCTAATTGTTCATGAACTACATTCAACATGTCGCGGAGGTCTGAATTCTCCTTTTGCAGAGCCTTGCAAAACAAAAAGAAAGAATTGTTAATCGAGCACGGCTCGATGGAACGTCAATATCAATCGCGAATGCCGATCGTTAAAGGCAGGCTCTAGCGTACATACCACAAAATCCTTATTTTTGGTGGCCATGGTGAGAGCTTTGATTTCATCGTTTCGCGTTCTCAGCTCGCTTTCCAGCGCCTCGACTCTCAATCTCAGTGCCTCGCTATTTCCTTCCGCGATCTTACCAGCTTCCAAGTCGGCGTACTTGAGCTTTATTTTGGCATTTTCCTCTTTGTACAATTGCAGCTGCCTTTTCCACTCGTCGACGTTAGCCGTGGACTCCTGTAGCGCGCTCGTTAATCTGGCATTGTTGGTTTTCAGGGTAGTCAATTCAACCTGCGGTAACACACGTCGCTCATAGTATTTATATGCATTTACTCATAGCGACAGAAATAGAATGTATTCTTCCGGATCGTACCTCCCATTTCTTGGCGTTGGCGGAACTCTGGGCTAGAGCAAGTTTTAGCCTGTCGTTCTCATACTTGAGCTGCACCTCGGCCGACTGTCCACCTTGCGTTGAGCTCAACTGCGCCGACTTTCCTTGATGTTGCGGACTTTCTGTACTCTGAGAAATACTCTGTGATCTTGAATGGACTGCGTTTTTCAATTCGTCGTCCACTCTATTCTGACAACTACCAGGTAAAGGACTGCTGCTTACCGAAGATACACTGTTCTGAGCGGAAATCATATTGGCATTCGGATTCTGGTTGTTCGACGACACGTTGGAGTTGATCATGGAGGAATTCGGCGGGTCTATGAGGTCCTGCTCCGACGACGGCATGCCCGATCTGGACGTGATCGGGCTGACGTTCGCGCTGGTGGCCGGCGTCACCGACGAACTGTTGGACTGCAGCTTGGCACTGGCCAGCCTCGTGGCCTCCTTCACCTCTTGGAACTTCTCGACGAACTGTCAACGAGAAAGAAAAACTCTGAGTGCGCGACGCACGGGCGCCTCCGCTTTCTATAGGTATTCCCGCAGACGATAGCGACGCACAAACCTTCACTAATTCAGCCTCGGACGCGAAACCCAAGCCGTACACGGTGTTCGCCCTGATGTCCGACCACTGGCCGAATTTCTGCGACGTCTTGGTGAAAGTCATGTTCGGTACAATTGTGCTATTTATGACAGGCTGAGGAAGAGAAAGAGGAACTTGGTGAAATGAATGCCCTCCCCCCCCGTCTCGTTTCTATCCGTCGCTGTCAGTTACCTTTGTCCCCTCGATCGAGATTATTCTGTATAAACTCCTGGTGGAGTCGTAAAAGAACGACACCGATATTGCCGCCGACGACGCCGGCACCCAAGACCGCTTGGTCTTGGGATCGATGTGAAACACGTGTGCCTTGCACACGAAAATTGGTTGTTCACTGCAATCAATTATGAATAAGTGAGGAGGAGTGTGCGTACGCGCGGTCTTCCATATATGACAACAAAGCGTCTATTTTTAACCGACCTAGTTAACGCCGGTGCATATTTACAGATGTACACGCGGCGCGGAATCGCCGCGTAGAATTGCACGCGCTGCGGAAGGCGGAACGCGCGAAGCAACATTCGCAGCGAGGGAGCGACGTTACGTCCGCCCGCGCTTTTAATATTAGCCGGCAAGCATTTTAACAATGCATCACTTTATTAAGGGACTCCCGTCGCTCTTCATCTTCAGCAGATAAATCCTTTCGAACGAGCCGCGGGATAATTTAATAACGCCGCGCGCGATCTCGGGGAAACGTCGGCGCGGGGCAGAGGGAAAGAACTAGGGGGTGGGAAAAGAAAAAGAGAGAGTCAACGCGTAAATAATCCCGCGTGGAAGAACATTCTACCGCGGGAAAATCTCGGAAAAATCGTCGGGGCTCCCCCCCCCCCCCGGGATCCTCGCCGGATCGGATCGACCCTCTTCCTCCGGCGCGGCGGCGAGAGGCAGGGGGTGTCGCCGCTCGAGCGGGACGCGATTCCCTCGCGACGACTCCTCGCGGTAGAAGGAAGGGAAGGTAAGCGCCGCTGCTCTCCCGCTGTTACCCGGAAACGCGCCGCATCGGTGGTGTCAATCGGGGCGGCCGGCGATCGAGCCGAGGGGGGGGGGGGGGACGAAGGTACGCGGCGCTGCGTCGCGACGCGACGCGCCGCGACGCGGGGGGACAGGACACCCCGTCTCGTCTTCCGCATCTTCGGAGCCGAGCGAGCGGCGCGGCGCGTGCACGCGCGACCGGGGATGCCGGCGACAGGCGCGGCGCGTACACACACGCGCGCGCGTTGCACGTACGCGACGGGCACGCACGCACATGCACACACCCTCCGGAGGGCGGAGGGAGAGAATTAATTCCGTCGTAGCCGCGGCCGCCTTACACACCCTTAAAAGGAGGCGGCAGCGCGACGGCGGCGGCGGCGGCGGCGGAGAAGAAAGGGCCCCAGGCGCCCCAGGCCGGAACTCGACTTACCCCATTGTCTCCTTGCCCGCTGTCATATAAGAGGCTGGTGGGCCCGTGCGGTCGCCCGCGCTCTCGTGAATCCTGTCGCCGCGCGGCGTTCGACGCGCGTTCAGCGCGCGCCAGCTATTTTCGGCCCGGGCGAGGCGACGAGGATCTCGCGGCGTACGGTCGCGTACCGCGCGTGCGAGCGCTGAGATCCGTGCGAGTTGACAGCCGCCATCGGCTAAAACTCCCTCCCCCCCTCGCCCTCCGCCCCGCCGCCGAGTCCGCCCCCACTCGGGCGCCCCGCGCGCTACTCGCGCTCCCCTCGGCGGCGACGCGGCGGTCACGCGACGATGTGAACGTAGCCGAGTGTGGTCGCGCACCGCCGGTCCGCCTGCAGTCGATCGATTTTCCGCGAGAGAGCGACCGCCGCCGCCGCTAACACCGCGCGCCGATTGAGCCCGCGGCGCCGACGAAATTCGTGCCGCGGATTCTGCCCCGTGCGGCGGCGACTTCCGCGAATATCTTGAATCCTCGGACCTCGCGCGCGCGAGATGACGTGACGACGAGCGGCGAGAAAAAAAGAGAAAAAACTAGGGAAGTCGGGGATCCCCCCCTGTCGCGCTGAAGTTTGCCGCTCGACTTCGCTTGGCGGCGCGGGACGCCGTGTCGCGTTCGATCTTCGCGCTCCGAGGACCGCGGCTCCGGGAGCGAACGTCAATTATGATCGAGTCGACAATTAGCTCAATGATGTCTGCACTGCCAAACGGATGAAATTGTTAATTGATGTTTCGTCGCTTAACATGCGCGGGAGGAGAGAATTAATACGAGGGACGACGAATGATGTAATTAGAAACTTTGCCGCGAGCAATTCCGCCGGTTGAATTGGTCGCTAATTGAAACTGGAGCTCGGTCGAAATCCCCTTCGTCTCGCCGTTTAATATGCTCGATCCTTTTCACTTATTCTTCTTGTGCCATTAATTTATAATTAATATTTTACTACTTGTTTCAGGAAGACGTAACTGGCGCGTTCTTTTCCCGAGGCCTTCCGTGCAGCCTCTCTGTCTACTTTTTCTTTGAAATATGAAAGGAACGCGATTGCAACACTCGTCGAATCGACTCGATCTATTTTTCAGGCTCGCAAATGTACCGTCGATCTGCGTTTACTTTGCGTTGAGCAAATTTTGCAAGAAATACAGGGAGAAATGGCAACAGAAATGACAGGGTTAAACGGGATGTGTCTCGGAGTATTGCACGTAGATATACGCCGCGGCTGTAACAGTTACAGGCACTTTTATCGTCGCCGAGGCACGATTACACTCTAGCGAGAATCTTAGCAGCTAAATTGCTGAACCTTTTCGTGTCAAGGTGACTCTCACAATAGGATATGTGCTAGGCGTGTGAAAAATATGGATACGGGTGGATGTGCATGACAACCATTCTTCTTTTTTTTTAATGGAGTAGCTGCTCCGTTTTCATTGATCAGTTCGTGATATAATTGCCATTAGAGAAACTATTTTTCCCTGAACGTAAGTCCTCTCTGTATCGGTCCGCCTTGTACTAGGCCTGGTTTCACCAACGTCGCTAGCTTTACCTGGCGAAAATAATATGTTTATAAGAAGTTAGTTTAAACGTTGAGTCAATGTTTTATCTGAGTTTTAAAACATTTATCGAATTAACAAATTAATAAAATTCGCATGGCTCAAATGTGATAAACACAAATTTCAGGGAATAAAGGACTAAGAGCCGTGACAGGGTGTTAGTGTCGAAATATTTTATTCTAGATTTATTGCGAAAAAGTATCACCTCAGCCAGGGTTTGAACCTGGAACCTCCCTCTCGCTACGACCAATTCGACCACCGAGGCACATGGCAATATTCCTCGCAATAAACAGTCTAATGTTGATTCTCGAATGCCACCTGTCGTGACGGTATTCGTTTATTGAATTACATATTCATTGAATTGTTTCTGAGATAAGATTTAAACAACGATACAACGTCAAACGTTTCCATTACAGTTTTCTAAGTGTTTGTAAAATGTTATTGTCAGTAAAGAATTAACCAGGCGTTTGCGACGCACTTCCAAACGGTGTGACCATCAATAAAACTCTTCACAAACAATGTAACTATCGATAAAACTCTTCATAAATAAATATAAACATCATCTCTCACTTAAACTTTTCGCCAGGGCTTAGCTTAATTCGTTCTTTGTCTCTTTCCAGCTGTTACTTCAGAAAGAGAGACAGACGCGAATTAAACTAAAATTACAGTTAAACGACGTCTGGTGAAACCGGGCCTTAGGCCGATATTCCCTCTGACGACGCTGCCACCCAAGCGAACCGCTCGATGTGAAACACGTGAAAATTAGTTGTTTACTGCAATCAATTGCGAATAATGGCAAGAGAGTGCGCGCGCGGTCTTCCATATATGTACCATACAAAGTCTATCTATTTTTAATTGACCTAGTTAACGCCAGTGCATATTTACAGACGTACGGTACGGAATTGTTGCTTGAAATTTAATTAAGCGGAAGGAAATGTGTAAAGTTCGCCGTGAGCGAGCGAGGCAGCATTAGATCCACGTTTTAAATATTAACAGGTGAAACAGATTTTCGCGCGACTCGGCTTATTAATAATAGACTACTTTGTTAAAAAAAAAAAAACTTCTGTCCTTTTGGTTTTCAAGAAAGAAACTCTTTTAAGTGAACTGCAGGATAATTTAACGCCGTGTCATTTCAGAAAAACGCAGGCAAAGAGAAAAAGAAGAGTTCACGCGCAAATATATATAATCTCGCGTAGAAAAATGTTCTACCGCGGGAATCTCGACAATTCCCAGCACTCCAGCGTGGTCGTCCCGAGATCCCCGCTAAAACCGAAGGCTGATGGCAGAGAACGAGCCGTAAGCGCCTACAAAGCGTCGTCTACATGGAGTAAGGAGTAAGAAAGAAAGAACCATAACTTTTAGCTTTTAATTCGAGCCCAGCTACCACAGTGCTCACACGTATACATACAATTTATAACTCGACTCCGTCGTATTCGACGACGATGACTGACTTAGCATCGCTCGAAAAGGCCCCAAAAGAATAGGGTCGAAACGTTGCGTAACAAGCCGATTAAATAACTAGCCAGTTGGGTTGATTATAAGCTTCCCGTCTCAATTTTAGCTTTTAGTGTAAGGAAGCTAAAATACAGGTATAATTTTTAAAATATTTGTAACACTGGCCAATGCCGTTCTGATTCGCCACATGAATGTGTTAAACATTTAACACGCAAATTTTAATCGGCATTTCTTTTTAACAAGAAAGCACAAATTGCAATTTGGACGACTCATAAGACTGTCTTAAGTCGTAGACGAAAGGCAAGGCAGAAAAAGACTACAGTCGTATACAAGTCGTATACAAGAGACTTTTACGACTGAAGTTTTTCTCTGCCTTGCCTCATGTCTACAACTAAAACAGTCTTAAGCGTTTACGGATCGTTCTCTGCTATCAGCCGAACGGATCGACCCTCTTCCTCCTGCGGCGAGAGAACATCGCCGCAATTCCTCGCGGGGAAGCGACGAGAGCGAGTGGCATCGCCCCTCTCGGTGTCGCCCGGAATTCACCCGGAAACGCGCCGTATCAGCGTCAATCGGGAGGCTCGGCGATCAAGCTGATGATAGATAAATATGGGAGAGACGCGGGGGTATCGAGATTCGTCGTCTTCCGGATCTGCGGAGTCGAGCGTGCCACGCGGCGCGACGGGGATGCCGGCGTGTGGGAGAGCCCGAGTGGTGCGGTCGCGAGCGGCACGTGGCCACCTTGACACCCTTAAAAGGAGGTAGCGCGGTAACGGAGAAGAGGCGCCGCTCCGGGACTCACTCCATTGTCCCCTCGCTCGATATCAGATAAGACTGATAAGAGGCCAATGAGTATCCATCTCTTGCGAATCGAGCGCCGACTCTTGTCGGCCCGAGCGAGGATTTCCGGCTGACACGCACGTTTCGCACGTGTGAGGGCTGCGAGTTTGACAGTCCCGTCAACCCTCTTCTCCTCCCTTACACTCCGAGTCACCCTTTGAGACGCATCGCGCGTCACTCCCGCTTCATCGATCTACGCCGACGACGACGGCGGTCGCGAATGTAGCAGAATCGCGTTCAGGTTCATCTAGAATTCGGCCGATTCTCCGCGAAGGGAAAAGCGCCGTTTGTGGCTATTCGTGATTATTAAGTCACGGGTCGACCGACGATCATGTGGTCGTCGACCGTCGTCTGCCGCGGAATTACTGATTTAATATTATGCAATCATGCGCCGCGGCGAGGAGCTCGGGTGGAAAGGCCTTTTATCTGTTACTTCCTGGTTGAACGTTTAGGCGCTCGCACGCAAAAGCGCGAGTATTCCAATACTTTCGTCTATAAACGCATCGTCGATGTGCGCCGAGTGAATTTTACAGAGTATAATGTGACAGCAGTAAAAGTAGAAAAGTAAATAAAAAAAATATGATATGAATTGAGACATGTGAATTGTAATTAAATGATAGACGTAGACACGTTAAATTATGGTCGGGTAACTGTAATTGAAAAATTAATCCAGTTGTACATACGTTGGAGAAAATATCTAAGAATGAAGTTATTGAATTACTATATTTGAATTATATAATAATATCGTCCCGGCTGAGAACGAGCGAGTATAAAAATGTGAGCGTCTCTCTCGACGAGTTTCACAATAATCTTCCGCGCTTATAAGTTCATATATAATTTACGCCGACGATTAGATTAGTCATCACTACACCAAGTCCGATATCCTTACGAAACGTAACAGATAATATGTAAAACAATGCTGTTAATATATTATATAACGTAAATCTCATCCCTCAATCAACGAAAGTTAGGCGAGAGCGTACGGCCTAGAATCATACGCCGTGGCGGTGGCGGCTACAGCTCTTCAATTGAATGTTAATTATCATCGAGGGTTCCTCGGTATTGTCCAGGCTCTGTCGAAAGAGTTGCGCGTGCTGCCAGGCTTCTCGACCCTCTCCGCCGGACAACGTTGCTACTACGCTCAATCGCACCGCCCCTCTCGCCTCTTCCGTGCGGAAGTTACTGCAATTGGGGACGTCTATGACAGCCGTTCTGTCGTCGTGGAAGGTGACCTCGAGCTCCCAGGACACCGTGGCTCCGTGGAACACCTCCGACTTGGCCTTCAGAGCAAACGTCCCTATACACAATTTGGATTTGCCGACTTCGAAGCTCCACTGGACACGTCCGCGCGCCGTATCCGAGGAGCGCGCCAAGTAAACCATCTTCCAGTCGTCCTCCACTTTACGGAAGATCCCACCCTCTGAGTGGCGTACCCTTTTCTTCCATCCGGACGTTCGTTCCAGAATATCGCCGTTGTCGCACCGTACAGCGTGATACCGGTCTTTAACGACGTTATATCGCAGCTCGAACATTTGCCCGTAACTCGAAATGTCCCAAGTGTAACACCCCAAGTCGTCCTGACAAAAAGAATTCGACGGTTGAGTGAAACTCTCTCACTGAAAGCTATTTCTTTGAAACGTGAGACCGATAGAGGCGTACGATTTTATCTCGACATTTCACTTTGAGAAGAAAATGGGAAAAATTCTTCGCGCTAATTGTATTGTAAAATCTTGTACGTGCTATCGTAAAATTTGACTGGTTCGCAAAATCTTGGATATACTCGTACATTCGTGATCTCGCCCCGCGCCAGTCGCCATAGGAGACAGCCCGAGGTTCGCGCCTCGTAGGTCTCCTCGTCGGAATCCGTGCCCTGCGAATTTGGAATGTACAGCATATCGCCGAGCTCCAACAGACTCCGCTTGACGACGTACTCCCTGCGCGCGCGGCTGTAACCGGCGGCGTTCTGCCGCTGGCTGGTCAACGACTGGAGCAAGTGTCTCAGGCTCTGCTCGCTGCAGGCCTTTCGCCTCTTCATGACCGCTTCTTGGTCCCGCGTGTAACGCCACGTGACGTCCTGCACCTCGTCCCTGGAGTAGGCTATTATGTACGTCAGCTTCTTATGCCACCCCTTCTCGTACATCAACGGCTTGTCTACGACGTTCTCGCACGGGTCCACGTGGATCCATCGCTTGTTCGACGCCGACCATATCTGGGGAGTGAGGAAACGAGTCAACTTCCGCGAGATTACAAATCGCGGGACGTAGCTAACGCGGCGCGTACCTCCGTCCAGACGTGATCCGTCTCGTCGCATACAAATCGCGCGTCGTAGCCCAACGAGCGACACAACAGGGTGAAGACATTGGCCCATTCCCCGCAGCGGCCGCGGCGCAGGGTCAGCAGCGGCTTCGGGTGCGTGTAACGGGGAAATTCGACAACTATGCCGCATCTCTGGCATCTAATTGTAACATCACGAGACACGGTAGAGTCTCGCGCCAAGCGTAAGCGTAGCTAGTACACTGCGTGCGAGACCGACCGTGTAAGTTTACGCGAGTATGTAGCAAATCAATATAGCTGTTCCACAAAAGCTGCAATTGGCTACGCATTTCTCAAAACAAGAACTTGGACCAAGTACTAGCGCCATGGACACAGGCCTTAATTCGCCTGAATAGATACAGAGTTTCTAAATTTCTAAACAGTTGCTATTCTTTTCATCGGTGTTTTATTATTAACTCCATTATTTTTTCCAATAAAATCTTTAGTTTGATTTTTAAAGAAATATAACATTTTTTAATAAAAAACTAATACTAAAGCAACTAGTTTGTATAAATATCCGTTGTTATATTTGGCGCAATTTGTTGATATCATTACTTTTGTAGAGAATATACTTTTGCAAAAAAGATAGAGTAACAAAATATATTCGGTTGAATTGGAGCTTATACTTGGTGCTTTTTTTTAATTAACGTCGCAACATTTCCACAGTCGTTCGCGAACGCACGTGTCTCTACGAGAGAGAAACTTTGTACCTGTGCAACTCTATCCTCGAGCAATGAGGATCTGTCGATCGTATCACATTCTCGTACACACATTCGGCGCCGCACGTCGGGCACTTCGGGCTGTTGACCCACTTGAAGAATCTGTACTTGAACCAGCGCAGCAACTCGACCAGGAATAAGTCCTTAGCCATCAATTCCGCCTCGAGCTGCGAGGAGGCTTCGGTCGCGCTACCCGATTTCAAGGAGCTGCAAAGGGGGCAAGTGCGTAGAGATAAATTTTATCACGGGTAAGAGATAAAGAAGGCGGATACGGTCGTATTACTTTTGCAGATCCCTTATCTTCTCCATTGTCGCGATCTCCAATTGCACTACGGGCACGACTCGCTTGGCCATTCTCTGCAGCTCCGGATCCTCGTAGTCCATGACACCGCGGAAGTGGCTGACGACCCTGTTGAAGAACGCCTTCTGCGTCGTAGACGTCTTGTCAATGTCGTCGGTAATAAGATTGACGTCCTTGCCGCCGCACAGCAGCCTCGACAGGCTCTGCAGCTTCAAGAGGGAGGCGTCTTGCGGTAAGAATATGCGCTCGCCATCCTGTCACATGACAAATTGATAAAGTAGCTTGTAACGACAGTCTCGTTAACAACGACAGGAGCCAGAGGGAACAGGGAGGGATCCCTCGACACCGGGTACAGACCTCGACGTAGCCGATGTCGAACAGGCACTCCATGGCGCCGACGGCCGGCAGGAGCTTCTCGACGACGACCTCGTCGTCGAGGCGCAGCTCGCGGGACCTGCAGCTGTCCGGCGACCTCAGCACGTTCCGGCAGATACTCAGCAGCGCCCGTCGGGCCTCGTCGCGCACGTCCTCCGCGTTCTCCTCCAGAGACATAACGCAACACTCCAGGCTCTCGTCCATGTCGGATCAGCCGACGATCGTACTACCTGTCCGCGTTCGCCGTCGCGGTCAGCCGTCCGTCATCATTTCTGCTGACTCCTCGCGCGTCGTTGGTCGCCAGGGATACAAGATAAGTTCCCCGGCCGCTTCGTCACGTCGAGAACGAGACGGACGCAGGCGCGTGGCGCGTGGGCCAGAAGAGGACGTACGGCACCGGCCAGGCCTTACCGACGGCGAGCGAGCCGCGAGTCTGCGGCGGACGAGGACGGACCTAGACGGCGTCTCTCGCTCCCACTCGTCCGTCGACGCTACACGGTGTCCGCCCACCGCAGGCCGCTGGTGTGGGCCGCGGTTTCTCCGTGTGCGCGCGTGTGCGTCTCGCCTAGCCGCCGTCCCCGTCCGTCGGTTCGTATATGGTCAGCCCGCGCGCGCAGAAGCGGGCAGTCGCACGAGGGCAATCGCCGAATCCCCGCGGGATGCGCCGCTCCGACTGACAACGGGAGTGTCCCTCTTCCATGCTGCCTCCTCCCGCGAGGGAACGCCGCGCCGTTACGTAGCCGTAGTACTCGCGACGCGAGCAACGAGGCTGCCGCGCGCTGGTATTGGTGTCAGGAACATGGCTATATTTAGCGTATGACGGCTGGCCGCGTCGCTCGGGGACACGAAACCGACTTGATATAGCTCGCTCGCGGCGTCGCGTCGCGCCCGCTTGTGTGTTTACGTGCTGCCCTGCTGGTCCCGGGGTTTCCGCGACGATAGGCGCCCAGGATGGAGGATATATTCCAGTGGTGCCGCGAGGGCAACGCGATGCAGGTCCGCGTCTGGCTGGACGACACGGAGCACGACATGAATCAGGGGTAAATCCTGCTCCGTAGCTCCTTTTTTGGAAGGCGTTCGCTCGCTCCGCCTCTATAATTAGGCCGGCTGGACCACTCGAGAGCGATTTTGTAAACAGTATTCCTCACGAGAAGCGCGAGTGGGTCGCAAATGAATCTACGTAGTAGACTTGGATTATCGGACGAACCGAACAGATACGTGGTAGACCGTAGCGTTTTATCTGTACGTCCCGATCTCACGCTCCCCCAATGACGTTTCGTGAAACTGTCCGCGTAATTACGGCGCGATCGTCTGGGCTGCGGGCCACTTGATTGCGAACGCTTTACGGTATTATTCTCCTTTTAGTGAACGCGTCGAAGCATTCGCGGCGTCAGGTGGACCTCGGCATTAATGCCGTCTCACATGCGAAATGTTTCACTCAACGTATTGCTATGCGTGCAGGGACGATCATGGATTCAGTCCGCTTCACTGGTGCTGCAAGGAGGGCCACTCGAAGCTGGCGGAGTTGCTGGTCAGCAGAGGAGCGCGCGTTAACGCCACCAACAGGGGGGACGACACGCCGTTGCATCTGGCCTCGGCGCACGGACACAAGGACATCGTGCAGCTGGTAATGAGAAAAGAGCTCGCTCGGCTTGTCTGGCTCGATTGTCAGGATTGTTCGCTTAAGGCCCGGCGACTTGACTTACAGCTGCTGAGAAACCGCGCCGACGTGAACGTGACCAACGAACACGGGAACACCGCCCTGCACTACGCCTGCTTCTGGGGCGATCAGGCGGTCGCGGAGGAACTGGTCGCGGCCGGCGCTCTCGTGTCCATCGCCAACAAGGACGGCGACACGCCTCTCGACAAGGCCAGAGGCCTCGTGGCCAAGAGATTGCACGGTACGTGAAGGGCACATTCCGAATTGACTCTTCGCACGCACCGATTGTATTTCTCGTTTCGTTTAGACTTGGCGGTGGAGTACGGGCAGGACCTGAAGAAGATACAGTTCAAGGATCAGAGCTGGTTGGGACTGAAGACCAGGAGCCGTAAGTGCTTCCCAAGTTGTTGAAAGAGAGGCAAGAGTCGCGCGGACGTGTTTTATTCTCCACGTTGTACTCCCCAGGGGACGCGACTCTCTCGAGGCACAAGGGGATCAGTATGGCGGACCTGTCCCTTCACATGCACCTCGCGAGCACGCCGAGCGGCGAGACCTGGCGCGGCCGATGGCAGAACAACGACATCGTCGCCAAGATACTGAACGTCCGCGATTGCACCGCGCGCATTTCCCGGGACTTCAACGAGGAGTTCCCGAAGCTGAGAATCTTCTCGCACCCGAACGTCCTGCCGGTCCTCGGCTGCGTCAACCAGCCGCCCCAGCTGGCGACCGTCTCCCAGTACATGGGGCGCGGCAGCTTGCATCGACTGCTGCACGGCGGCACGGGCGTCGTCGTGGACACGGCGCGTGCCCTCCGACTGGCCCTCGACGTCGCCAGAGCTATGACATTCCTTCACAGCTTGGATCGGCAGAACAGATGCAGATTCCACCTCAACAGTAAGCACATAATGGTGAGTTCCGGACGGTAGTTGTACAAGTTGGATACGCAAGGTCTGAAGTCTATCTTGACCACGTTGCGTTCAATTGCAGATCGACGAGGATCTAACAGCTCGCGTGAACATGGCGGACGCCAAGTTCTCCTTCCAGGAAGTCGGGCGAATTTACGAGCCGGCGTGGATGTCGCCGGAGGCCCTGAGCAAGCGCCCGGCGGACATCAATCACGAGGCCAGCGACATGTGGAGCTTCGCCGTTCTTCTGTGGGAGCTGGCGACCAGGGAAGTGCCGTTCGCGGATCTGTCGCCTATGGAGTGCGGCATGAAGGTGGGCAACGCACAATCTGTCACTTTGAAATGGAATTACATCATGAACACCTTTCTTTTCCTGTAACCCTTGGCAAGAAATGTGGTTCTATCTTCCTTTGAGCGTTAAATTGAATGTAACGATCATTCCTTTTTCAGATCGCGCTGGAAGATTTACGCGTGAGCATTCCGCCGGGCATTTCCCCGCATCTCGCGAAGCTCATTCGAATTTGCATGAACGAGGATCCCGGCAAGCGACCGTCCTTCGACATGGTTGTGCCGATCCTCGACAAGATGAAACGCTGAAATGCGACACGGCAAGAAGAAACGACGAGATACATCGGGATTGAATAGTGCCTAAAGAATCTCCATATTTATTAAACTGCCCGAAGAATTATTAACGATAGAATATTTTTCTACCACTGTGTTTCGCAAGTGGACGAATACTGCCTTTGAACGTCTAAACCAAGCTGCAAACGGACTAATTTTTATCTATTTATATATTTTTGTCTATGTTAATGTGAACTCGTCGACGTAGAAGCGCGTGTTTACATTTGTAATCCGCGAGACGAGTTTTTAAATAGCGTACCTCGAATTTTGTCCACTTGGCGATGTCTGACGAGCTCGCCGGGACTTTTAATATACAGAGGGTAGAGTAATGTTATTTACACGCATTAGAGAGCGCATATTTTTTATAAAATGTTCGGCGGCCCATATCTTCTGCCTGTGCGTCGCCAGATATATTGTGAATAATATATGTGTATAGTAATTAAAATCAGGATGATTAATGAAACTATACAAATGTAGAACAGTAGTATCGGACTCGTTTACATTCGAAACGAGCGTATATCTTTAATACATATATTTAGGTAATAATCATCTTGCATGCGAACTTTCATACACGTGTACGAACGAATGTAGACATATGGACAGTTTTATCGACAAATATATAAAAGTATATTCGCTGTTACAGGCTGCTCGATTCATTGCTCTGTCAGTAGTCACGAGAAGAAGAGAAAGGGACGTCTCGTCGCGTTTATCGCCGTGAAATTCAAATCAAGCAGTTTGAAAGAATGGATAGCAAGTGTTCCAAGCAACGCTTTACGTCCGATTATTTTTTAATTATATTATTGATTCGCCCAGGTAGCCAGTTCGGGAACGAAACATTTGAATCACAGATGTATGTTTATATCTGTCAGAAAATTGAAAACAATGTGGGCTAAATCTTTTGTTAACAGTACGCCCATTCGATGTGTCCTCTCTTTAGCTGCGCACTTGACTACGACATGTTAACATTATGCTAGCTGTATCCCAGATAGCACACCGAATTCACAGAGTATTCTTTAAGTTTTCTTTTTTCTGAATTGTAATTCTTTAGGAATTCATAGAAGAATACAATAAGAGTGACAGAGGAAGTTACATGCACCATAAATCGTTTTCCTGACAACTTCTTAAAGTATTCATCTCGAATTCAATAAATGTAAACTTTATGAATTCAAGGGGAATAGTGTTAGAACAAAGAGGATTACAAAATATTTACCCAATGTATGTACACATCTAATATGCAGTAACATTACACCATTATTATAATTTCTCACTCAACAGTGAGATACTCTCAACCGAAGCTCGTTGACAATCGGATGATTCTTCCGTTTCGGTTCTCGTCGTTCGATTCCTCCGTTTCGATTCTCGTCGTTCGATTCTTTCTTTTACACAATAGAACTATTGCACAAAATTAATTGCACATAGCGTTACGCACACAAAATATTGCACGTGGTAACACGCTGCACAAGAACGTCCGGATGGCGGTTAGCGGATACTCGCGCATGACAAATAATTCCTCATAAGTTCTTAAAGTATTTACAGTACTGAATCGCGAAGTATTCAAATTAAAATGGACTTCAGAAGAATACTTCAAGACGAACTGATTGAGACTAAATTCTTCAAGAATTCTTCAGATAATCATTTTTCTAATTCTGTATGTTTTCTTTAAAATGAATTCTCTATGAACTTTTGTTCATCCTTGTGCTATCTGGGATAATCACTGTCCTTTTCTTTTTAAACGTCTAGATGGTTTTATTACTTCAAGGAGGTCGTTTAGGTCCGAATGAAGATTTAATTTAGTCTGAGTGCTAATTAATATTAAGCAATAGTTTAAACCGAGTAATTATTACATTTAAATAACGCCTCTTTAAACTGACAGCAATGCTTTTCCTCTCCGTCTCATTCACCCCGCTCGCTCGCACGAACGCACGGGAGCACTCCGGGCTCCGACGACGCCTCGGTCGGATTTGCAATGCCGAACGCAGCTGTTGAGCATTGTGTCATCGTTTGCCCGCGCAAGAACAATCTCTGTTTTTCTCGCATTTATTGGCTGCCGCGGTGAGATAGTCCGAAAAAGGTTGTTAATTAACAAAAAAAAAGATAGTAACTGGCCCGTAAACCTGACTGCCGGTACATGCACGTGCGCGCGAGCTCTGCGTATACACACACGTGCAGGCGCACGGTCTACCTACACCTACACGCCCGCCACGGCCTATGCAAAGTCCGCGTGTGTCGCATTGCCGTGTCGGTGTCCGTCCGATAACCTAGAAATGGCCGCGGTGCGCAAATTCGCCCGGTTGACGGCGGGCCTGCCGAGCGAGCGCTGCCTCGTCGGCCGGAGCGGCGGCCGCGCGCCGTTCTGCACGATGGTGCAGCAGCCGCAGAGGACGCACGGCCTGGCGAAGCTCGGGCTGATCGGCGCGGCTGCCGGCGTCGCGGCGGGCGCGGCATACGCCTACTACAGGATCAGCGAGGCGCGGAGGAACATCGCCCTGGAGGGCACGCAGCTGGAGACCGCGCTGCTGCAGCACAAGCCGCCCGTCGCTCCGTCCCGGAAGGTAGCCCGGCGATCGCGACCGTGGGGAGACCCGCCCGCGCTAACGATGCCCGTTCCTTATTCCAGGTCGTGTCCCCGGTGGACGCCACCGGCCTGAAGCTCACGTTGTTCCAGTATCAGACGTGTCCCTTCTGCTGCAAGGTGGGCGAGCTCCCGAGAATTTGAACGGTGCGTTAAGGCGTGTTAAATTAATCTGGGACCGATTGTACCTCAGGTGAGAGTATTCTTGGATTATTACGGGATATCGTACGACATCGTGGAGGTGGATCCGGTGCTCCGCAAAGAGATCGGATGGTCCTCGTACAAGAAGGTCCCGATTCTCCTGACCAAAGTGGACGGGGGCTACCAGCCGTTGAACGACAGCACCATGATAGTGTCGCTTCTCGCCTCTCATCTGCACAACAGGTCTTACGCGATCGAGGAGCTGGCCAATTATTATCCCAGCATAGGCGTGCACGACGAGCACGGCAAATTCAAATACGAGATCATAAATAAGTATTTCCTCATGTTCAATAAGCAGCTTCCGAAGAACAGATCGATGAACGATATTACGTACGTCAAGTCTCCTTAGATATCCGCGATTTGAATTGTACTCGTTACTACTTCGCTGCTTATGTGTCTAGCGAGGAGCGCAATTGGCGGAAATGGGCGGACGAGGTGTTCGTCCACACTCTGTCGCCAAATGTCTACAGAACGCTCGACGAATCCTACAAAACCTTCAATTGGTTCTCGGAAGTAAGCGAATGATTTCTGTCGGGGGGGGGGGTGAAAGATACGCGTAACTGGGGCTAAAAATTACTTCTAATCCAGGTCGGCAAGTGGGAGGAGTACTTCCCAGCGTGGGAGCGACTGTTGATAGTGAACGTGGGTGCGACGGCGATGTGGCTGATCGGGAAGAGGCTTAAGAAGCGGCACCGTCTAAAAGACGACGTGCGACTGTCGTTGTACGACGAGGCGAATTACTGGCTGCGCGCCATCAAGACGCGCGGCACCACGTTCATGGGTGGCAGCAAGCCCAATCTGTCCGACCTCGCGGTTTACGGCATCCTGAAGAGCATCGAGGGCTGCGACGCCTTCCAGGATTTGCTGAGCAACACGAATATCGGCGTTTGGTACGACGCTATGAAGGAGCAAGTGGATACACATTCTGGTAGCGACAGTTTGAGCAGATAATACATTGATTCCCACGTGTATAGAGTTATTTATTTACATAATAAAGTAGGCAGAGGAAATCCATACTCGCAAGGATATACTTAAGCTGCGCAAGCCAGCTGACGAAACATAAGTCTGAAGCCTTTGTTCTGGGCCTCTTGCATCTCGTCGCCGTTTGTAACGACATAGAGTACGAATGGTTTCAAGTTCGCTGAAAGTTCGGTGAAAACATTTTTAGCATCTCTATAATATACAGGGTGTTAATTAAAGACCGCCCACTAAGTACATAGCGTTATTCCTTGTAAAAATCTGGGTCGAAAAGTCCTGAACCACTTTTTTCTATCACGCTTAATAATGAAATGAGTCAGTGCACCGAGCACCGACCTTTAGTCGAGCGCTCACGCACACTACCAGGCGCTCGGCTCACCGGCCAAAGGTCGGCGCTCAGTGGATTGACTATGCGCTTAGTGGGCGGTCTTTAATTAACACCCTGTACAACGTAGCACTGCGATATTACCTACATGTTTTAGTTACGAAACCATTTCCGCAAAATCTGTCTGTATTAACGGAACCGCCATTTTCACGCGGATCTGGCACGATGACGAAGTCGTTGATGCAACTGGCCCCGGATTCCGCCACCAAGTCTGTGCCTGTTGACGCACGTGACAGTTAAACGCTTTGTCTAACAGCGAGGTACTCTGCGATCGTGTTTGGCAAAATTCTACAATTATTCTGGTTAGATGAATACAGGAAATTACCGATCTACCTATTATGTCTGGATCAAACGACCCCGTGTCTCCGGAGACGGAAAAGGAGAATCTATCGACTTGCGACCACTCGATACTGCAGTATCCCAAGGCCATCCTGACGCACACGCCGTAACGATGATTCACCATCTGCCGCGTTCCGATCTGAGGGGCTGAAACAACCCTTCGTTTAGACCGTTCGCCTACGGTTCGCTGCGACGTTCGATCGACGCGTACCTCGTACGTTTTCCGTGGTGCCAAAGTTGAAGCTCATTACGGCGCCGGAGACAGTCTTGTAGTATTGCAAGCACCCGTTAGGAGCTGAAACAGAGGCAGTACTTTCGCAGGTGTCTCGGCGTAACGATGAAAACGTACCTCTGCACACGGAATCGCACGCTATTTGTTGAATCATTATATTCCAGCGTCGATCGAACGCGTAGTCCGCGTTGGTGTCGACGGATATCGTGATCGGCGTCGCCCCGTTGAAGTCGACGTACACTGAAACAAGCCTGGCTAATCCCGCGTCCCTAAACCTGCACGAAACGCCTTCAGAAATTGTCTTACCGTGCTGGTTGGTGTTCTCGCCGCATATTCGGGGCACCGTGGACGAACCTCCCGACACCAGAAACACGTCCAAGTCGCAAAATCCAGTTGCATTGGGTTGGGCCCAGGTGGCCTCCAGAAAGTCTAGGCGTAACTGCAAACGTGAGAGAGAGAGAGAGAAATATGTAAGAGCTGCGACTGATTGAAACAGTACACGTACGCGTATACCTGACATATGTTGGAATTACAGCGCTGCACCGTGATCGTGCACCGTTCTCCACCTTGATAAGTGATGGGATATCTCGGGCTTACGAAGTACGTGTTGTTCATGTTGGTGGTGGAGCCGCAGGACTTTTGAACTGTAAAATTCCTACCGCGCGTTAGTCGGTTCGATTCGCGCGAGGCATGTCGATTATTTTGTAATTTACGAATATTTTTCACTGCGCTACTCACACACGCAGCAAGTGCCCAATCCGTTAGCGCATGGTCCCGATGGGTTGCCGCCGTAATTAATGCACTCCCGCCGTGTGAAGCACGTGCCTTTAAGCTGATCGATGCTCGACAGGCACTCGGAGTTAGCGAAACGCACGACGCTGAACAGTGGGAAGACTGCGCGAGGATATGTCGTGTCGTTTAAAATGTGCACGTCCGAATGATACTCTTTTTTTTTTTTTACGACTTACATTTTCCCCGATGACTGGAAGGGGAGTTAAACGACTTGATCTCTAAATCATCTCTCGAGGATTGATCCAAACTGATAGTCTGAGCGCTTTTGACGGACACGAGAGCGATGCAGCCCACTAATAGTGCACTGACCATGTCTGGAGATGCGACTGATTTCAAGAATTATACTCTGGCTGTCAGGCGACACCGGTAACGGAACATGTGTGCTCAAATAATCCACCGCGATTAGCACGTAGCCGAGCCCTCGGGCTTACTGTTCCTTTAACTGTACGACACCCGCGAGATACTCCGTTTTATTCGTTCAAATAATGGCGATAGTAACGTGGATAGAACAGAATAACGCATTTACAAAGAGGCTCACGTGTGAAAAACAAGTCGCATGTATTGCCACAGTGCTGTACAAAGATCCGGTCCTAAGTACAAAGATTAAAACATTTCTAAAACAGTTTTATTTCGCGCATAATTAAAACATTTCTAAAACATATTTTAACAAGTCCAATATATACGCTTGATCCATAACAAATTTTTCCATTCAACATTCTCTCAACCCACGGTCGCGTTCGGCGTCCGACAGAACGGGCAATGCCCGTGGCGTAACAGCGCTAGCTCGTAGTCGTCCGAATGAAACAACTGAAAGGCGAACGGTCATATAGAAACAGGATTCGGCAAAGCTTGATCTTATGAAGTAGCGTTGCTCGAGACTTACTTTTAAACAGCACTTGCACAAGCTGACCTGGAGATCGGGTAAAAGATTCCTGAAGTATCTAGTCTTAAAGGGCTTGGGCCACTTAATAATGATTACAGTGGACGGATCCATACTCTTCAATACTCCTCTTCCGACAGTCACCGTAGAATTGCTGGATTTTTCCTAGGGAAGACACATACATTTTCTTTTGTAAATAAAATAAACGCTCCGTGCGATCGTGCATTCAATTGTACCTCGTATCTCATCAAACGGACGGTGAAGAGGTCGGCCTCGTTGGAAGTTACGGTAAATTGATCGCTAACTGCGACATCGTTGGGGGAAGGTAGTGGTTCCTCTATCAGCTTCTCCGCCTCCTCGTCCGTGATGTCATCCTCCAATTCGAACTCGACCAGTGGCAGGATCTCTGTAAACAATTGCCGGAATTAATAGTGTGGCCTAGAAAAGTTTGACACGGGAATTTTGAGAATCCCCGAGCTTCTATGGACAATCCGCTTACCGAACATAACGAAGGAATATTGAAATTTTAAGCCGCACTGCGTGCAATTACTGCCAGAGGCATTATTCGTCGGCAGTAACGGATTGAACGTGGAACATTTGTAGCACAGAGGCAATAATTCTTCCGGATCGCGATACGGATAAGATCTGGCAATTAGAGTCGACGTCTCCACTTGCGCCAGGAGATTCACGGGAATCTTCATCGAGCGCAGTTGGTCCAACAATTGCATAACCAGCTTGTTGGCTCCTAATATTCTCGCTTGTTTCATCAGGCTATACATGATCGTCATCTTCGAGATGCCCTCCAGCCGTATGTTTTGCGTCTTCATGAGCAAATACCGCGAAATGTTGAACAACGCCTCTGGCATCAGAGACGTAAAAGGTTCCTCCTAGAATACGTCAACGTTACGAAGGAAGAATACAACGGGGAACATGGTACATTTGGTGCGTTACATTATCGTACCAGATACTTGTATACTTCGTGATACGCATAATAGATATCCGCCTTGTCGGAATAACTGAGAAACATCGCTTTTATCTCTTCCACGCTCTTGGACAGATCCAGACTCAACTGCGATAGGAGCCAGTAAAAGTAGGAGGCGTCGCGAAACCTTTTCTCTACCACGGCGTTGTTAGCCAGCATCGTGAGGACGAGTATCGACTCCTCCGGTTGTCCCGCCATTTGGAACGCTGCAACAGCATGTTAAATGTTGAATATCTCGACAGCGTGCGATGCAACGGCGAGACCCGTACCTTCCTGAGCCTCGGAAAACCGTCCGGTTTCCGCCAACCATCGCGCGTACGGCCCGTACACTCGTGACTTCAACTTCGGATTCCTTTCCGCGAGCTCGAAGGCCTCGGGCCACGCTTGCGCGTCGACGAGCACGTCGGCAACGTCAGGATCGTCTCCCAGCCGGCTGAAAATCTCCGCCGCGCCATGCGAAGCACCCAGTTGTTTAAGTTTCTTCGCGATCATCGACAGATTGTCTCTGTCCGCCTTATCCAGTTGTCTGCCCACTTTGATCAGCATGTCGATCCAGCCGTATTCGGCGATGATACTGATGGCGCGATCGACGTCGCCCGCGGAGAGGAACATCTCGGCCGCGGCGCGCGGCTCGCCCAAGCTTTTCGCCCATTCCGCTCGCCGTCGCAATAATACCGTACGATCCTGAGATTCAAATGAATGTAACCCAATATTATCCGCAGTCACTTATTATTCTGTTAGTTTCATCATTGTTTTACTTTATTGTACTCTTTATGTATCAAGTTTGGACCGAGTATGTTGATATGCAAACGGACCTGCGTGTTACCGGAGGCGATAAATTCTTGAGCGATGTCGAACATACGTAGGTCGGAGTACATATCCAGGGCGTACTGCTGCAGACCGGCTTTCTGATAAAGCTTCGCCGCATCGCGTAGTCTACCCATGGCGGCCGCGGCAGTGGCCATGCAGGCCTCCCGTCCCCATTCGCCCGACTTCAATTTCTCTTCCACCTCGGACACGATCTCTATGTAACGCAGCTTCTTCACCCGCGCAAACGCCGAGTACGCGATGTTCAGCTCCAAATTGTCCAGGCATGCCGTACCCAGAGCGAGCCAGTCCGACTCGGCTACGCCCAGGCACGCTATGTCATAAGCGTGGCTGTGCAATCCGATGTCCAGATATTGATACATGAACAACGACAGTGGCACCTGCAAGTATTAAAATAAATTGTCAACGTCGCACGAGAGATACGTTTCCCACGATACGTTTCTCGCGACGATTCACCTCTAGCGTCATGATGGACGAGCCGTTCAAGCAGTAAAGTTTCGAGCCGTTGTGCCCTACGACGAAGCCGGAGAACTTCTGCCTGTACTCGGAGAAATTGGCGACTTTAATCGCGAGGTAGCTGTCGCCCGCGAAGCACATGATATCCTCGAAAGCGATGTTGAACGCGACGCTGTTGACGTTCTGGAATTCCTGCAGCTTCTCGCCGGAGCACAGATCGAATACGGACAGGACGCCAGCTTCGCTCACCACCGCCATCTTCTCCTTCAATGAGCTGATGTCCAGGCACCTCACGGCATCCTCGATTTTCGCGACGTGCGCGGGAAACGGATTATCGAGATATATCTTCATCACGTGCCCGCTCTTCAGGCCTGGCAATAGAATCACGTTACGACTTGTCGACTTATCCTAACGAGACAGTAAAATTTCCAGCGAAATTCACCGGCTATTAAACACTCCTGCCCGGCGGGACCACCCGCCACTTTGATGTAAGTGATAAGTCCATCGAGTATCCATTCTCTCTCTATTATCCCGGCGAACGAGAGGCTCTGCAGACGCCTTTCCAGGCACAAAACCAAGTGGTTCGACGTGACGACCAACAGATTGCAGTTCAACGTCTGGTTAAGCTTGTCTCGTATCCTGTAATGCATCCCCTCGCCGGCGCCGGACGGCTCGTAAATGATTACACGCTCGGGTAATTGCACGGCTAGTCTGTTTCGGTACACCGCGATTCGACATACCTGAAATATTTGAGTGCGATAACACCTCTACTACGAAGTTAATTTAATCATCTTGGACAGTTTACCGACACCGCACTCACCAGGTCTTTACATTTAATTCGGACTTTCTGATTCGTGATCAAATGCTGTATTATCACGTCGGTCATGTTCTCCCGGTACGCGTATCTGTCGCCGTACAGGCCGTGCACGACGTTCCAGGACAGCTGCAGATACGTTATCGTTCCGTCCTGGGAGCCGAGTGCCTGCGAACAATCGCTAAGTAGTGGATCGTTAAAGCCAGAGTGGTGCCGCAAGTAATATGCCGTGACGTACAACATGCGAGACGGATGGATGAACGGCGCAGCTCCATACCCACGACGAGAAGGTGCCGCCTACATTCACCAGTTGTATACCGTCGTGCGTCATTAATAGGCACTGTTTGTTACTACCGCAAACGAGAAGGTATTGGCCTTCCGGGAAGTGCGTGACTTTGAGCGGTGTAAAACTGAACGATCTCTCTCTCCTCACGGGTTCCCCGACAATAGTGTAAAACGAGAGGACTCCGTTCCACTCGGCGATGCAGAGAACGTCCGTGGCATCTTCCCTGAGTGAACAAAGTGTTCTTATCTCTTCTGCTTCTTACTGTATATAATAATTACACGTTTAATGTATAAAATTGTAGGTACTGTAAAGGATTCCACGACAAACTCCAAATTGGCACTCCGACTTGCCGCTCAATGCGCGTTTTTTCCTCGCCATTCTGAAAAACGGATACGACTTACTTAAATCGATTAGCCTAGCTTAGAATAACATGAAGAGACATGCATGTTTTATTATACATTAAGAATGTTTATATTTAACCCTTAGCTATATCTAACACTTCACCAGGCACACTGAGAACAAGACATGGCACGACAAGTACAATTTTCGTACTATAAGGGGGCTTAAATTTGAGCTGAACTAGGCTGGGGCGTTTAATACCCCACGACGCCAGCTAAGGTTTAACAATGAAAATGTAATTTAAAAACATTATATAGATAAAATGAACGATATACCTTGTTTCTAATGGATACATATCCAGTTGCGAGACCAAGAGCCAGGTATTGCCCGTCCCTCGTCCACGCGCAGCAGTTGACCCTCCCGCCGGACTTGTGTTTCTGCACGGCTTTCTGTTCCGCGGACCAAAAGGCGATGTCCGAGAGCGAGCAGCTGAGAAGCTGATGCGAGACGGGATTGAAATGCATCGACTGTACGGCTTCATTGTGCCTGAGCAAGAAGAGATAATGGAATCGGAGGCTCTCGCTTGTATTAATAAAGTACGTGTAAGGGGAACGTACGAATATTTTAATATCCCTTCCAGCTTGGAGGTCCAGATGATGACGCTTTTGTCCGCCCCACCCGATGCAAACTTCTTGCCGTCCCTCGCGTAGCACACACAATATACCGTGTCTTTGTGCCCTAGGATAAAAAGACGAGATTACGTTAGAGAAATATGGGAAATGGTATCTTAATCGTTACAATTGTTCAGATAACCACCCTTTAACGGTTGAATCAAAGCGCCATCGACGGTCTCGTACACAAGGACCTGATTGCCAGAGGCAACAATCAATTGCGTGCCATCCGGATTGAAACAAAGATCATATATACTGAAACAAAAATATGTCTTTAATCAGCAGCAACGAGAGAGAACACGAACAAGAATCAGCGAATGTTGCGAGCTTAAAAAGAAACAGCGCTTATTCTAACGGAGCCTTTGCGAAAAGGACAAGATGTGATATTAGGAACACAAATCTTTTATCCGCACATATAAGTGGATAATAAATTAATTGCGATTATTTTATACATTGGCTCGATAGTTTTATGTTACTGTTTGTCCCGTGAAGACTCAATTAAGCAACTTGTACTCCGTGCGTATTTTAAGGCCCGGTCTACGAGTCGTTGGTCAAAAGTCTGAACTATATGTCAATCCTTTTTCTTATTGTAACATAAATGCAATGTAACTGATGCTCGGTGTTTACTGGGTGACAACTCATTGTAGAAAACCCGGGCCCAACATTCCGCGGCATCTTTGTTCCCCGCGTTCTCATTCGCAATTGCGCAGATCAATTTACAATCGACAAGAGAGAGAGAGAGAGAGATACAATTTTCGGGCCAATTGAGCTTTACCATTGATCGGACCTTTCTTGCACCTTGTCGACCCATACTGGATGTGCTCTCATTCTGTCACATTCAGCACAGATTGTCTAATATTGTTGGACCCAACAATGTTGTGACACACGAGGATATGTTTGGCGTTCACACAGTTACCATGGTAACCGCAAACCGGGAGAAACATAGGTAATTCCTTCTCGAGGGACGCTGCCGTATTGGCGGGACGTGTTGTAAAGTGCAATTTAAAGGGCGGTACACACAGAGAGAAACCTGAGACACAGATTAATCACGGATCAATAGACAGATCGCCAAAGGCCCGGGTGAAGTCGTGACCACCACACACTTTGCCCCTAGGTGCGAGTCTGGACTAAATATATCCGATTTTATCGACAAATTTTGCCTTTTGGTGCGAGTCCAGGCTAAATTTAGGCAACTCTGTCGATAAAATCGGATATATTTAGTCGGGACTCGAACCAAAGAGTAAAATTTGTCGATAAAATCGGATATCAGTCCAGACTCGCTCCCAGGGGCAACGCTGTCGGTAAGGGGCGAAGTGTGTGGTGGATCTCGACTTCACCCGGGTCTTCGGCGATCTGTCGATTAATCTGTGCTTGTACGACGAAAATATAACCTAACTTCCTGACCGTTTGTCATCAAGCTACGTTTTAATTCACCAATGTGTTAGAGCGAGCAGCGTAACTTCACGCAATGGCAAACGACCGAGAGGTACTTCGGGAAATCTGGGACGGAAAGATCCCAGTCTGCTTTACTCTCAATTCCGAAGAAATTTGCGACCTACAAGGGCCAGATCCGTTTTACCTGATGGTACCTAGATTAAGTTATTTCCCGCTGTGTACGGAGAAGGTGAGAGATTTTCATGGCACGTTTTATCAGAATTCTGTTATTCGCATCTATGAATGCGTACGAATAATTGTTGACTTATTAATTTTACCTACAATGCTGTGTGAATATTGTTTTAGGTCCGGAAACATTTCATACGGCATATACAAAGCGACAGTAAACAGGAGCATGAGATGTGGCTGGAGTTTAATGGAATGCCATTAAAATGGCATTATCCGATTGGTGTTTTACTTGATATTTATTTCAACGACATTCAATTACCTTGGAACATTGTCGTCCACTTTGACAAGTTTCCAGAAAATGTTTTAATGCACTGTCAAAATAAGTATGTGATAAGTTTTGTATGACGTAGTTTGTTTGCTTGTCCAACAGTCGCGGGTGATGTAAATACAGCTCTGTGTAATTTTAGGGAAGTTGTAGAGGCGCATTTTCTCTCTTGTATAAAGGAAGCTGATGTTCTGAAGCACAGAGGCCAGATTGTCTCCAGTATGCAGAAGAAGGACCACACGCAGCTGTGGAATGGCATCATGAATGATAAATTTGACCAGTTCTGGTCCGTAAATGGTAGACTCATGGAAGCCAGTACCGAAGATGGTTTTAAATATATACCATTCCGTTGTTATACAAGTGAAGATAAATACATACAGAGACTCGTGAAACCGATGAATGAAGAAGGCCAAAGAAAGACTTTGAAGCATTTGTTAAATGAAGTATTCCCAGATCAGGAAAATGGTATGGAAACTGTCTTTTATATGAATCTTTCTAAGAAAAGTATGCCATACTGGTGATGGAATTGAGTATCTTACAAGTATCTTACATCAAATTTATTGGCATAGGTTTGAATTCTCTATGATGTCTTTGAAAAATAAAAGCAGTATGTTCAAGTATACTCGAACCTAGACTATATTCAAACGCTCTATAAATATAACAAAAAACAGTAGTACTTCCAAGTAGGCTCGGACCTGAGAATCAAATATGTTGGAATCTTTTATGAGTACTTTACGAAAACTTGTATTTTTCGAGTCTTCAAGATCGAAAGGAAAAGAGATAAAATTATGTAGATTATAATATGATTTTTTATTATTCTAGTTTCAATATTTAATAAGAATATAATGGTTTCAATATTTTAGGTTGGAAAACAGTATATGAATTCACACATATAACACCATTAGGCTACCTACATCTTGCTCGGACCATATTGGTTATCTTATTTCCTCTTGGTTCAATATTTTGGTTTCAATATTTAATATGAATAATATAATAAAAATATAATTAACAAATATAAGTACATTATTAACAACTTTATTCCTAGAGTTCGAGTACTACTTGTGAAAGATCTGATTCTTTATAAGAGAAAGTACTTATAGTACATTTGAATCTTGTACTCATTCTAGAATTTACACCCTACTAGTCGAGATTCGATTTTGCAAATACAATGTTGTTTCAAACGAAAATATCAAACATTATTTCTTATGAACAATTCGTGTACCATAAAATTAAACTTGATTACATATTCGATTTGACTCAATTGTTAAGTACATATTGATTCCACTTGATTTCATCGTTAGCCGTAACTGTCCAAAACTGATTTGATTCTCCTTGAAATATGTTGTAAAATACGGAAATTCAAGATACACATTTTTTTATACATGGCAATTTTTGAGGTTTAAATTAAACAACCGCTCGAAGCTAACGGTCATCAGCTTTGGACAATTGTAACGTGTCTCTTATAAATATTATGTGTACACTTCCATTTATTTAACAAAATTGATATTAAGCGATTTTACAGTTACAGTACGCACCCATGGCATCGTACCACCATTAGAGACGCCGCTTCAGTGGATGTCAGAACATTTAAGTTACCCGGATAATTTCCTACATTTAATTGTAGTTACATCATAATGTTTATTGAAGGACAGATGATTTATCAATAATAAAATAATTTTATTTTCAGTGATAAGATAATCAGATAAAATCAGATCGCTATCAGTGATAGAATAATTTTCTGTGATTATTATGTACATTGTTTATGTCATTTTATAGTGTATTTATTTTATAAAAGTCCCTTCTATAAATGCAACTGTAAACAAAGCTAATTGGCCCACCAAGGGCTGTGGTGCAAAGGGGGGAAAATATAGAAATATACAAATATATATGTACGAGTATATATTTATCTGAAATCGACACCATAATGTTAGTGGAAACAGCTAAGTTTATTAAATAAATAATTATAACATTTTCCACTCGCTAAGTAATCGCGCATCGCTCGCCCGGTTTGCGATTTTCTAATGACATTTGTGAGGCTAAGTGAGCATTCCGTGTAATCACAGAGTCTACAGGTTTGCGTACGACAACGGGGTGGTTTCCGTTGTTACTATATTCCATTGTCCTGCGACTATTTCCAAAACTAAGATAACTAACGATTTTCTTCTTTCTGCCTTGTTCCTCCTGCAATTAAGAAAATTCTCGGTCAGAAATTTACTTTGTTCAAGTTTATTTGATTTTTGTTTATTGGATTTTTTATTTCCTACCTTAAATATTATCAACGCGGTATCTTGGTATCTCTTACGAATCTCTTCCTGGCTCAAGACAATGGTCACTTCTGGAGATACATAACAGGCGGTCATTTATGTATCCCGTATAATTTTGTTCGCGCATTTAATGTGTACTTTCTCCACGACGTTTACGTCGTTTCTCTTACATCTGTAATTATAAATCCAGATAGCGGCGGTTCTCTGAATCCATGACATTCATTCACTAAGATATTAATATTTTCAAATACGGATAGTTTTTAATGGAGGAAAGAAAAAATATTTCGCATATGCAAATGTTTTACTCTTCTTTTTCAGCGTTCTGGTATAATTATTTTAAACTTAAATAATTTTCTTTTATGTATTTGTGTAGGGTTGGTAACGAACTATCTGACACGCCATATTTTAGTAATTTAATGGCGCACATAACTTACAAAATAACAGTGAAGATATTAACAATGAGCAACGAAAAGCTTTTACATTAAACAAATGCAGTGTCACTGTAGAGCTTTATCATTGCTCACTGTTATTTTCTTGGACTGAGAAGTTCTTGTGCCGCGGCATACTCACCTGACTTAACGTCTTCGAACTATCATTTATTCCAGTCAATGCAGCTTGCTTTACAGACAGCACTTTCGAGATGAGTGCAAATGGCTCGACGATTTCATTGCCTCCAAACCGATGTCTTTTTTTTTACAATGGAATCCAAAGCTTTCTAGAAAGGTGGTAAAAGCGTATAGATAATAAAAGAAAATATTTTGAAGATCGATAATATAATTATAGTACAGCATAATCTCGGTAATCCGGCTCTTCGATCATCCGATACGTCCAATAATTTGATACTATCGCGAACCCCTGCGGCCCCCTACGCGATGTCTACAATAAAATTTTTAGACATCCGGACGTGGACGACGGTAAGATTTCAGAAATTGACCAACGAATCCCTTTCTAAAAAAAGAGATGTTAATAGCGTGAATGTCGTTAATATCGAACAGTTGAGGTCTCTTTTCTGCATTGCCAATTGGTTTTCTCGAAGCGCGGTGTGCTTCACTTCTCTTTTAGATTCGTAGTAAATGAAGATTTGCAATTTAGAAATATACATTTGTATACACCAACTATTGAGGTAAAATCTCTAATCTTAGTAATTATAATTTACGTAACTACGATTTTTGTTACGAAACATTTTCTCGGTTGAACAGAATTAGTCGTTAATTTAATCAATACCAATAAGTCTGCAGAATGATACGCAAAACGTAGTAACAGTCACGGAACGAAGTAATGTAAAATATTAAGTACAGTATTTTCAATTTCGTAGGTGGGACAACGAACTTTCAACGTTCGTTGTTTTTCTTCTCGTTTTTGCCTGTTTTTCTATCGGCGCGGTATCGTACAACGTTACGCGGTACATTGTTTACCTGAAGGTCGCCGCGCTATCATTCGCTCGCCGAACGTCGAGCCGGCAAGCAGTGTCGAGAGTCGCTCCGTGCGTGTTATTATTTTTGCGTTATCGGTTTCCAAGACTCGATCGCGATGAATATGAGGATAAAACACTATTGAATTGCACACCTTTATCAGTAACAAGTAACGTTCCTCGATTAAGTATTAACTTTCTGCAACTTGTAATGAGAAACGAATTACATGTTGAGGCTCTTTATTAACGTATATATTCACGAGACTAACTCATCTAAGATATGAATGTAAACCGTGATACTTTGTCGCGGTTACATCTCGTTTACGCACCGCGCTTTTAATTATTCTATCGATTTCGTGTAATCTGTTCCATTTTCGGGAAAAGAGAGAAATTTGTACGGCTTCGGCTTTCGCGCTGTAATTTGCTCTGTCGTTCTTCGGAACTCGAACGGGCAGGAAGTAAAGAAAGTCGTTTATTGCACATCGTAACATTACCAATTCAAAAGTGATTTATCCATTCTTCCGAATCAAAAGTGCAAGTTGTCAGTTTGAGCAATTTGTGATAGAGAGTCACGCGATATTTGTCAATAATATTTCGTGCGTTTCGCGGTATTTCACGTCGCGTACGGGAGTGTCCAAAATTTCGCGCGATCGATGAATTTCGCGAGTGTTTGGTGAAGTGCAACAAGGAAATCTGAGAGGAGGAGCAGGCCCAGGAGGCATCGGGCAACGGCACAGAAATGGTGAGGTAAGTGTCTTAAATTTTTATATTATTTGCTACTTGTGCAAAGAAAGCATCTGTTCTGTGTTTTTATTTTATTTATTCAAATGATTCGAACGAGGATTCGAATAAGTGTTAGAGACAAAACCATACGTATAAAATTTTGTGAGTTTATATATAAGGAAGACTTTCTCAGTATTCTATATAATTGTTTTAATAAATACCTATTTTTAAAAATATAAAATATAAAGTACATTTAATATGATAATTTCGATTTTACATAATGAGTCTATAATAATCATATACATATTTGTATTGTTACAGTTTAACATATATGGTTAACGGTGTACAACTTTGCTGTTGCGAATCGTATAAGTGAGTCATAAATTACTTTTTATTTTAAATTGACGTTGCGCTTACAATTGCGTCTTTGCATGTATACAAATTCTTAAAAATACATAATGCCCAACTACAAACTGCGCGCGCGAAGCGCGCGTTTTGTCACTTCTAGTGTGAAGTAAATAACTGATTGCGATTGGTCATTGTTTTGTAAAAAGACAAACATCTATTACGGTGGCTCCTGCATAAACCAAAGGGGTATTGTATGTACTTTGGGTTGCTCAAACCAGGTGAAACGGTCACAGATGAGCGTTTAAGTAACGCAACCGAACGCAAAAGACCTCAATGGTAAAAGGTGCTAGGCATGTCATATCGCTGCACAACAACGCCAGGCCGCATACAGCGAAAACGACCAAGGGCGTCTTTGGAATCGCTCGGGCTGGGAAGTTCTGCCGCACCCGGCGTATTCACCCGACCTAGCCCCATCCGATTTTCACTTCCGATCGCTACAACATCATTAGGTGGGTTCATATTTCAGAACGCTTTAAGAGGTCGGAAAATTCTTCCATACAAAACAGCCGTCCTTCCGCGAAGGGATTCGTCAGTTGCCTCAAAGATGACAAAAATGTATAGATAGATGCTAATGGAGATTACTTTTAAGTTTGAACCGATTAATAATGCGTTTAATAATTGCGTAAATAAGTGTTTAATTTGTTGAAAAAAAGCCGAGAATTAATTTGTACGTCTAATAAATAAATATATAATTAATAAAAATCACATAAGCTAAATCGAATAACGGACATTCGACATAACAATATCTTCGTCAGCGTGTTAAAACCCACGCGAAATAATTATAAAGAATAATATAAGTTACAAAGTGTTAAAATTCTAAGGACGGACGCGTGTCTTCAAATGTTCCATGTATGTTAAATAATAATGTAAGATTTATTTATATTTCCTATATTCCATACATTCGATTAATCCGGTACTGTCTAGTTTTTAATAAGCCGGATTTTAATAAGCCGGAACAAGACTATACGGTACTCATGCGTAAATGAAAGAAAATTAAAAAAAAGACTAAAACTTTGGCATAGCCTGAACACATGTATTATAAATCAGTAGAGATACATCCAGTGTTCAACAACACGGTAATATGAGAGCGACAGCGATGAAGACAAAACACGAGGAAGGAACTGAAGAAGTGAAAAGGAAGACGGAGAGTTCTCGCCGAGATAAAAATATGCACGGGTTTAAGTCTTTCGCAAACGGCGATTTTCTCGCCGCTTTGCAGGAATCACGACGCACGACTCCGCGAGACTTCCTATCCTTTTTCTTCCACGCCGTACGACAACGGGAACACGTGTACCGCGGGGACAGGCTTTCGGAGTGCGAGCGCGCTTTATAATTAGCCAGCACCGCGAAAATGAGCGTTACGCGCCTGAAGGTCCCTCGGACCGAATTGCTATTCAAACGTGACGCTCGTTTCGATGTCACGTTGAAGATTGTTTCTACCTCTTCGCGGTACTCGGTCTCGATCTGTTTATCTTCATCTTCACATATCATATCGACTTGCGATTACGCCACGTAATCTCAACCCTCGATCATCGTAGTTTGAACGCGATGACGTCAATCCCGAGCTCGAAAAATCGATATCGCGTCCGTGACGAGTCGCGATGCAATTGCAAGTTCCTCGGCCCTTATTCATAGTCAGTTCTTATTTCAAGATCGTCTTGAATGATGTCTTAAGATACTAATACGGCTCTGTGGCCGGTATTTATAGTTCGTTCTTATATTTAAGACCGGCTTAAATTTGCAGTTTTAAGATGACCGCATAATGTCTTGAGACATTATTAAGAAAAGTTTGGAATTTTCAAAAAAAAAGATGGAAAAGAAAATGTTTTTGCATACTTTTATAGTACAATATCACAAGAATATTCTTTATATTTCGAAAGTCAAAGTATTGACGAAGTTATAAGCCGTTTAGCGAAAACATGCAAGGCGTTCCAGGTAAAAATCCGAGCGTCATGGTGTTTAAGGACCACCCAGGCACCAAACAAAGAACACACAATCTTCTATGTGTGTGTACAATGCTTATTGTTAGACGAACAGTCCTAGAAAATAATGAAAGTTTCAACGCGACGATCGCAGACTGAGGTACCTGCACAGTGACCCGAAAGTTTGAAGATTCGTCGAATCTTGTGAATATTTAGCTACGGTAATGAGAGCAATATTGCTATTTTAAAAATTGCGGAGACAATGAAATGAAATTGCTACGAAGTCAGCAATGTAAATGTTTGCTGATTACGCGGATAAACAGTGACTTGTAAAAGTCAAGAGCGCTGAAACTACAAAATAAACTTGCATAATCAGTCGAGGCAACGTAGAGGAACAATGACTTTTATGAAGAAGTGGAAAGATCACTGTATGCTAAGAATAGCAGTGTCAAAAATATATTATAAGTGTGAGGAAATAATACTCGAAACACGTTCTTTTTCTTGAAATGTTTTTCAAGTCCGTTGATCAGACATCAAAAATTTACAACCGGATCGGCTTCAGCTTATTAACAAGACGCTTCGTGCGATAAGGTGCATACCTTGGCCAAATCTGCGTGAAACTTCCTACCAAAATCTATATTTCTTTATTAAGTGTCTGCAAAAATGCCCCTAAAATTTCAATTTGTTTGGAGTTACAGTTTTAAAAAAAAAATACTGATTTTTTAGCGCTCCAGACCAGAATCTCACCTTGAGACGATCTGGAAGAAGTAAGGACTGATTATGAATATCAGCCTTGATTGGTTTATAACGGCTTAAGATACTTATATAAGAGACGATCTTAAATAAAAGAACAATCTCTAAATACCTTAGATACGTTTAATTTGCTCTCGCGACGAGACATCTCCTCGAGATATCTTCACGATGCGACGGACGAACAATTTCGGCACGCACGAGATTCAGAAGTATCGGAAATCTATTTTGCACGGGCTCGTCGATAAGCTCGAGAATGTTGGCGGAATTGAAGGAGGTCCCGATTCACCGTTTAATCCGCATTTAATCGAAGAGAGAGGGAACAAGCACTTTATATGGGACATAGAAACCGCGGCCGTCGGGTATCGCGTTCGCCGAAAGATCCACGAGTAATAATAGTATTTGACAAACGGCGCGTTGTTTTACCAGGATCGCTTTACCAGCTCCGCGCGGGAATACGGCGATTTCTCATTTTATGACACACTTCCCTCCGTCGGTTCT